CACTTGACCATGTTTAAAATTTTTATATTTACAATTTTTTTGTATTTTTAGGTAATTATTCCATATCCTATTCGCATTATCCAATTTAACGAACTATCTAATCGCTTAAGCAAAGTAATATATTCTTTACAATGAATATAAAGAAAATACATTTTCCATAACCTTATTTTGATTATATTTGAGATCTTCAGTCGGTTTCGGTTGTACTTCTTTCTTGGGAATATGTTCAGTAATCTGAGTTTTCTGCAGGAAACGTCACAGGGGCAAGGATCAGATCAGGACCTGTAACAGAAACAAATGATGTATCGATCATGTAATTTATCTTTGAGTTACAGATGTTTATGTTTTCAAGAATATCTTTTTAGATAATTGTTAAATAATATGTTTAAGGGACATGCGTAAGAGTTTATTATATATTGTAGGTGTATTTAAAAATTGCACATTAGTCCCCAGAGTAGTTGTTTCCGTCAACATTACTAGCTATTATTAATATTTTCCTTTAAAATTGCTTTTTAGCGTCTTTAGTTGTAGAAAGACCAAGACGAAGCAGCAGAAGAAGAAAAATAGAGCAATGTGGTATGAAATAGAATAGAATAGACTTTATTGATTTTTATATATACATAAATATATATATATATATATATATTTAAAATAAAGGTGAATGATGAAATTCTAAGCACATGATAAGTCCAGAAAAATCATTAAAGACATGATCAGTGATGAGAATGGTTAACCATTAAATTGAAAACAGAGGTATACTGCACAAATTGGTACCTATTACTAAAATAAGATTTAAACAGAGATAACAGAGCAGGGGATATACCATATGACTCCAATTCAAATGTTTGGAAAAATAATCCCATATCAGCAAAAACTTACTTTTATTTAGATTTATATAAATAAAATCATAATTTTATCGAAATGTACAAGATCTTATCTATGAATATTCTCGAAAACATCTAACTGAAAGTTAACTGAAAGACAACGCTACTCGGATATTATTTTCTTCAGGGAAAGAGCCAAGTGTAACCACCCAACATTCCGAATTCACGCCAGCAGCAAAAACAATACTCATACATCACCCCGACGATCGTGTATATCAACCCTCAAGGAAAAAGTTTTAACTAAGGGCCCTCCTGTGTGGCCATATAAAATTTCCATTTTGCTACTAAATTGCATTTTGCGTTCACAAATCGTGAGAAGTAGACAAAACCATCTAAACAAACCATAAGTCTTCCGCCCCCGAACGTATTTCGCTCCTGGGGGAGTAAGAACAGTTACAAAGTTCGTTTCTTGCACCCCAGGAGGCTTTCGTCACAACACACTAAACTATAAAGACCAGTAAATATGTTATAACGGGGGTTTAACACGTACGATCAGTATTAAAGATGGTATGACAGCCTAATATCAAAATACTACCTGACATATCTCCGCAATTAGTAAAAAACGATGTTTATTATAATAATATTAAAATAATAAAAATAATAATAGTAATGATAATGATAATGACAATGGAAATGATGATAATGATAATCATATAATAGTGATAACGATAACGATAGTGATATCAATAACGGTAACTGTAATAGAATAATAATAATGATTAGAGAGGAAGTCTGTTTTCAATGTGAGGCTCAGGAAAATACTCCAAATTGTAAATTTTGTTGTCATGTTACCCGGTCTTTAAAATTCGTTGAACAGCCGATTTATCCATATTCAATTCCCGGCTAGCCTGTCGTATAGAATTTCGTGGATTTTGTTCGAAATATTGAAACAGTCTGGCTGTATTAACATTGTTTCTGACTCTTCGGTCAATTATTTGATTTTTCCGAACAGAAAATGCATCTTCAATTCGTCGCAAGGTTGCCTCCAATCTTGTAAAGGTTCTATGATCAGGAATAAGACGCTCTGGATACCTTTCTCGAAATAATTCCACAGCAGTAATATAGAAAAAATTCTCTAACAAAAGTTTATTGGAAAAAAGAGAACTTTTTATCGGGAAAAATAATTGCGTATGTTTCTGGAAAAAAAATAATCTATGACGTCAGTAGTCGTTTCTGTCAAATTCTAATGATAATACTTTCTATTGAAAATGGAGCCACGCGTCCCAAATTTTATTAAAATTTTTTGTAGCCTCACAGTAGGCCCATATTATCGAGTTTGAGGCACCCTGAACAATAACATGACTGCCTTTGAACTGAAGCTTGACATCGATCAATTTATTCGATACATATCTAGCGGCACCCTAATGCCTGCCTTGTCGGTCATTTAGAATACAGAAAGGCTTTGAGCTATGTTTTGAAATTTTTAATTTAATTTAATTTTTTTAGTAGCGTCAAAATGTTCACCATTACTTGAACGTTCAGAAAATCTATTATCAAAACATTGTTCAAAGTTCTTGCAACAACTGTTGGGAACAATAACTTTATTAATATTTGTTACAAATTCTCACACAAAAAAAAGTTACTGAGTATTCTAAATTAAACTAAATGCTTTCTAAATCAGATTTAATATTTGGGACAGATAAAGTGAATGAATTTATTGAAGAATCGAAGTATTGGTTAGCTGATATCGGCATAAAACAAAATAAAGCAGATGATGAGGTAAATCAATCATTGTGTAAATGGAAAGTAACAATGCCTGTAACCAATTTTTGACTTATTAGATAGATAAGATAGACTATTAGATAAATTATTTGGACACTAGAATATTTGTGTATCATAGTTGATATAATAGAAAATTAAAGTTAAATCCAACAATTTAAAGGAAGTCTTAGTCTGTGCCATAATATATTTGGTTTTTGATGTAGATATCAATATTACACTAAAATCAAACGTATGATATTAATTTCTTACAAATCATTTGAGATATAAATCTACAGCTTTCTCAAATGAACACGTAAATATTATTTTTGTTACAGAAATATTTCTCTGATGAAGGAAATATTATTAAACATTCTCGATACGGGTACCTAACTTACTAAAGTTCGATACTATAGAAATTTAATGTATTTGGGCATCTTTAAAATTGGCATGAAAAATGAAAGCAAAAATTTAAATGTCAAAAAATGTTTAAGATTTTAAGACACAACTAATTTTTATATCCACACGAGGTACTTCTGATCTTATGCAGTACAAGAAGAAAAACACCTTGTCCCCTGGAGCAATGGCGCATGTTGAACAAGGCTTCCATTCCGTGTAGGCTGGCGTGTTATTTACTAAAAATATTTATTTTCTTTCCTCCATCAAATTGTTTTCGGGTTGTGAGATGCTACGATAAACAGAGAATGAAAGAAAATACGCATAATTACTTGTTTTTACAGGCATCTGTTTACGGGGCTTTGAATTTTAACGTAAATAGCCAAATTAATTCGTTGTTCCTCCCAACAACTAGTTAGTTAATTTACATTGTTTACATTTTCTAAAAGTTACCAAGTCAATTTACCCACTTGACCATAAAGACATAATAAATCGTGTTTTATAAAGTTTAAACTGTACATTATAATTACATTAGTGGGGAGTTTGTTCGTCGCTCTTTCATGGCGCAAAAGCCCTAAGCCCTGAACATGTTTGGATTGTTTTGGAACTTTTTTAATAAAAAAAACTGGAGCTGCGTTCTATTTACAAAATAGTAGGGAAGTTATTTCGTATAACTGAAGGCTTAATGTGAGTACGAATAGAGTACTGTTTGTATTAAAACATAGAATTCGAAATTATAATTCTTGTAGGTTATGGTACGTATTTGCTGGCGTTTTCCATTGACCTTCGTTTGACCTTGCAACTTGTGGTGAAGATAATATTTTCAAGTAAGCTTTAGTTTGACTTTGAAAGTTAAAGTCAAGATAAAATACAGGGTCGCCAGCATATTGGCTTATTATTTTAATTTGACAACTAACTTGACAAATGTCATGTTATTTCAATTGTTTTTGGAGTGTTTCTGGTCATGGCCAATTTGACAACAGGTCTGATACGAGAAAAACTGTCCAAAAAATAGAGAATTGCAAATATCTCTAAAAGTAGTAACGTCAACCCTAACAATGCTTATATGGCTCGAAAGGAAATTTCAATCTGCATACGACAGAGTAAGAAAATATAGGGTGTTCCATTTAAGTTAACAAAGTTATAGCTGTTTGAAGTTATTAAAATGTAACAGCAAAAATGGAACACCTAGTATTAGATGTTGTAATTTGTTGACATACCATAATTTAGCGTTACCTATGTCTTTTACAGGTACCAAAAATCCGCTTGATATCATGCTCCTGAAAAGAGTTACTAGCATCTCCGCGGATCCTTGCATCTGTCAAATTTTTTCTTTAAAAATTAATTTCCCAAAATCTATAACTCCTAGGTATAGGGAATATTGAATAAAGTGACCCTCAAATTTCACGTAGAATACGAAAATGCAGTAATATATAGGGTGTCCCATTTAAAATAACGAAGTTGGAGTCAACTTCCGGTATAACCGGAAGTGCTGGAGAGTTCTAGTTACTTTAGTTGTGTTCGCCCTAGGAACATTGGCATGTTGCCAAATTTTCAAATTTTTCGGAACAGTATACTTTCCTAGATATCGATCGACGCAGTTTCCAGTGGGACACCCTGAATAATTTCCAAAAACAGACGAAACTGGATTAAAAAGTCGATTGGGTCATTTAGTAAAATATAATAGTATTCTACTGTAATCAGAACCTTCATTTAATGATTTTGAAGTTTCACGTTAAAAAAAAATCAATTTTAGGATAATCGCGACAGGTTTTCCGTTGTTGAAATTTAAAACGCAACGTAACATAATTAAACACGTGAAATGTATGCTTTGGATGGTCATGTTTTCGCGGTATAAAATAATGGACAGGAATGCGTGGAAAATCGCATTAGCCTGGAACCGTTTGGATTTTGTTCCCTTTTATGAGATTCTTCCACATATATCTGAAATTAATATACAAACGGATATATTTTTGTCCAAAGCAACCTGCCTGTGACATTTTTCAACGAACAGCAAACAATTGCGGCAAACATATTTAACTGCAAAGTTTAGAGCAGAGGGGCACCGCACGCGATTGGTCGAATAATTTTCGAGTTAGTTGCCAGGTGATGAGTCGTGAGATGGTGATAATAACGACCTAATCTAGTACTCGAAACTTCTGAACAGTATGGGCTACTAGAGTTTTGAATTTTATAAAAATTGTGAGCTTTATTGAAACTTTATATCATTTAAAAAAATGAAAGTATAGCTGCACACAATGCAAAAGCGAAAAATTGGAGCGAACCTGTGTACTAACTGTCCAG